TGGTGTTGTGGCATGAAAGCTCATCATTTAGGCACTTCAAACAATAATTTTCTACTTGCAGTGTGGGCTCACTGCAGAAAAATATGAGAAATTATTGAGATAAATGATAACTTCTAGCATAAACGTGTAGGTTGCAATTAAGGCATAAATTTGATTATAAGCATATGTGACAAAAGTTATATAACAGGGGCATATCCAAGGGGTGGGTGAAGGGTCACACCCTTTCCTGAGACCTTGTACCGTTATTTTTCCTTATATTTGTGTCTCCTAGGTAATCTTTCTTTTTTTTAAGGTGTACCCCATTCGAGATTGGTGGCCAGCTGCACCCCTCCCTGAACAATATCCTCGATCTGCCCCTTTATATACACCCCAGATGTAGTATTCATCATATTCATCATTCTGGTCATAGCAAGGGAGCACGGCAGAATGGCTTTTGTGCCTATTCATTTACGATCAAACGGCGGGGAATGATCGTTGACCTATTTTGAATATTTGAATGTGTATCCGCTGACCGTATGTAACGGATGTGTTCCGGACGTGTGACGTCATTCGAGCGCCGAAGGCGCGATCGAGCCCCGAAGGGGCGAGAAGTGTCCTTTAAGTGAGAGGGGAGAGCAACTGTGGAGGGCGTGAGGGTCCTCGACCAATCAGAAAGCTCAATGAGGGGGTGTGTGTTCTCTCGATGCTCGTAGCAGTATCCCTGGTAACAAGAAATGCAAATTTCGCTGCAAATAAAGGCGCGCAGAGTGTTCTGGTATACAATGTGTGATTTCTAGCTCGAGATGAATGCGTGTTTAAGTGAAAATCATAAAAAAATAGAGCGAATAATCGACGAAGGATACAATATATTTATTAGTGGGCGAACTGGAAGCGGGAAGTCGTTTCTTCTGAGGTATTTGATTGAAAAATTTAAGCAAAACGGTCGACATTTTGCTGTAACAGCTCTGACAGGAATCGCAGGAGAGAATGTCGGTGGCCGTACAATACATTCTTTTGCTGGAATAGGAACAGGAAGCATAGACACGCATCAACTAATTGCAAGCATTAGTGCTAACATTCAAGCTGTAGAGCGATGGAGACAGTGTTCCATTCTTATCATCGACGAAGTCTCTATGGTAAGCAGGGAATTATTTGAGAAACTCGAAGATATCGCTAGAGCGACCAGAGAATGCACTATTCCTTTTGGAGGAATACAGTTAATTCTCGCAGGGGACTTTTGCCAGTTAAAACCTGTGGACACCGAAAACAGAAAGGACCAAGACCTATTTTGCTTTCTGAGCCCTTTGTGGGATGTATGTATCGATTTGTCCGTGTTTTTTGAAGAGAACTACCGTCAAAACGAGCCGGAATTGCGACACGTAGTAGACGACTTTCGATCGTGCGAGCTTTCAAACTTTTCAAGGCACTTTATTTCGCAAGCTTTACGTCGTCCTCTTGACTGTGACCCGTTTGAAATAGTGAGGCTTCATTCTCATCGTGATAGTGTCAGTGAATCAAACGACACTTATTTGAAGCAGCTACCCGGCGAAGCAAAAATGTTTGTTTCAGTTGACACTGGTAGCGCTGACTCTTTAAAGCAGTGCTCCGCTCCTAAGAATCTGGCGTTGAAAGTTAATGCAAGGGTCGTTCTTCTAAAGAATATAAGTCATCGTCTTGTCGATGGACTCCGTGGTAATGTTCTCTATTTCTATGAAAATTGGCCATGTGTTCGCTTTGACAACGGAGAAATTGTCATAATCAAAGAAGAGATGTTTGCTGTTGAAGAGGAAGGACGCGTTTCTGCAACTAGGAAACAAATACCCCTAGATTTGGCATATGCACTGACCATCCACCGAAGTCAAGGAATGTCATTTGACTTTGTTGAAGTAGACATTTCTTCAGTCTTTGAGCCTGGACAAGCGTACGTCGCTGTTTCAAGGGCAAAAACTGTCCATGGTTTGAGAATAACTAAGCTACCTCAAACAATGCCACAAATCAGCCCACTTGTGAAAGAGTTTTATTCCTCAAAAACAGTTTCTGCAGATGATTTGGATGTACCAACCGTCCTGTCAAATAAGAAAAAGTGTGAGTGTAATTCTATACCGTTTATCAAAATCGACACCTGTTTGCCAGTTCTCAGTCCTGCACAAGAGCCCAAGGAAGTTCATCTAAGTGAAGAGCCTAGAGAAATACCACAGCATTGTTATGACAAAATTCACAAGAAAGTTAAGGAAGATGCTGAAATAAGTGAGGACATTGCTAAAGTTTTGAGTGAAGTTGGAGAACAAAATATTGATGGGATAAATTTGTTTATTAAGTGGATTTGGCAAATCTACATGCAAGTCCATAACATGAAGCAGCACAGTCCACCTGACCTTATTGACAAAAAGAAATGGTCCGGAGTAACAAGCGATCTTCATGATATATGCAGATCAAAGCAAATGCTTGAAAAGTGGAAAGGGTGTGTTCGAAACTTCGTGGCAAACACCGAAAGGCTGCAGTATCATACTGCAGAGCAATCTATGCTGAATTTATACATCAGGCTGCCAGTCTTATACCCTCAAGCAATACAACTACTACAATTTCTGTTCAGCATCAAGACCAATTCTCAAGAGAAGAGACAGATAATCATGTAACTAAGGAGTATCAAGGTAAAGTGCGTGATATTGCTGGATGGGTTGTCAGCAAAGAAATACAGTCTTGTGTAAGTTATATAAACAAAAACAAGTGTTCAACATCCAAACATATCCAAGAGGAAGTTGCAAGGAGGCGTGAAATGAAAACATTATTGGGTAAAATGAAAGGAAACAAGCAAGAAATACTAGCTGTGACAAAGCACAAGGAAAGTTTAGAACATATCAGTTTGTATGACAGAGGAGGAAAAACGTACGTGACCGATGCAGTTTTTGAATTCTTTGTTATCTTGGCTTCAGCCTCAACTCAGGTATATTCTCAAGAGAACTTCGATACTCACAAGAGTAAGGCAATAATGAAAGCCTATGAGAACATTAAAAAAGATGTGTCTATTAAGCATAAATTCCAGGATCTTGTTGACTTCTTGCAGTCTAACACTTGTTCTTCTTCATATGGCAACTCAATTCCCAGAGTTGATGAGATAGACAGTTCTGTCATGGATTTGCAGGTTTTGCCCGAAGCCTTTTCCGAGATAAGTGTTGAACAGGAAGCAGTGGAAGGGAATGACGAACAGACCAATTATGACAATGCAGTAGTTGCCGAATGCACAAATGAGAATATTATGGACAGAAGCTCAGATGGCGAATTAGCAAGTAAGTTTTTATGAGTTCTATTGCAAAGTATAAAAAGGGGAAACTTTATACTGATGGGCTTCACTTCTTGAACCTCAACAGTTTTAAGTAAAATATTTCTTGACATTGTCAAAATACACTATTAATCAAGCAAATATCACAATATTGATTGAAATAAAAAGATAAATGCAGTTCTTTATATTTACAGGTTCATATGATTTCATGAATGATTCCTTAGATGACGAATTGGCTAACATTGAATCAGATGATTTTGCAGGTATGTTTTCTTTGTACAAGATGACTTTCAATCCAAGTTAAAAAAGGAAATTAATTTGTTTGGTGAAATCAGTTTATCAAAGTTGACTGTAAATGTATTCGTGACAATTGACTGCTGTAAAAATGGAGACAACAAAATTCTCATCATTTTCATCTTTTCCTTACAGGTACATATGACAAAGACACTTTCTTCGAAAATGAAGTGATATCCAAATTATACAAAGCTGTTGTGCACCGATTTACAAACATGATGTCCTCAGAAGTGGTGAGAAAATTCAAACATCAACTACAACTCAAAAAAAGCAGCGCAATCAGACAAGGACTACAAGCAAAGTCATCAAAAAAGAGCAAGAAACCACAGGGAGTCCCAACCATTGCTGATGTAATTTCTGAACCTTCTCCTAAACCTGCAACCCATTTTGCACTTAAAGCTCTGGCTTATAAAAGTGACCACATATTTGAGTCATTACCAGCTCTTCAGATAAAGTTCCTTATGGTAGGATATGGGCTTCAAGCTATCCGTGGAAATTCCAAAAAAATTCTCTCTGAGAAATTGGTGGCAGCATTAAAAATCAATAGTGATATGCCAGAACCTAATAAGCTTACCCAAGAAACCTATGACAATCTGAAGAAACAGGAGAGCAGGTCAGCCACAAGTGTACCGCAAGATCAACTTGTCAATTCTGAGCACAATGTAAATTCAGATGTGAATGTCAATGCTGTCAGCACGGCAGCTACAAGTACAGGAGGTGATAAATTGAAGACTTTATTCTGTGTAGAAAATACTTTATTTCATTTGCTTGTTTATCTACATATATTACTGTCTTACTTTATATCTAGTCAGAATAGTTTGCTGCATCCCAAAGCTATTTAGTGCACACTCTCCTTAAATATTACTTGTAATTTCATTTTACAAATTAGCATATTTGGATGGACCATACATAATAAGGGATGAGACTACATATTTATAACCTTTCCTATCATTTTTCAATTATTATAGCAAGAACCTCTAAAAAGTGCTCCCATTGCAAACAACCTGGTCATCGAAAGACATATAAAGGAAAGATCACCTGCCCGGCATTGATAAGTGAGCAGCAAGATAT